ATTATAGATAGTTCGAAATCTATACTTTGTAGAGGTTTAGATGTAAAAAGCACCGATTTCAATCCGGACACCGAATGCATCTGGGCAATTGTTGCAAATTCGCTCAGCCTGAACAAATTCTGACAGGAACTGGCTTTAGTAAATATTTAGTAAATATTAGAATTACCTTTCCAGATGGAATTCCAACATTTTACGTGTACGTCAAGCAGGATGGAGTAACACTGATAATATGGGTAGATGATCTAATTATTGAAAGAAGTAGTGAAATAATACTCAAGGATGGAAAAGAAAATTTCAAATTGAAAGACTTATGAAGAGTTATATGTTTTCAAGATGTTGACTTAGAACAAACTGTTGGTCTGGTAAAGATGAGCCAGAATATATACATATTAAATATTCTGAAAAAGCTTGGTAAGCCAGACTGTAAACCTAGATCAACGTCATGTGAGGTAGATCATAACAATCACATTAATGCTGTGGATACAAGGAAATATCTGGAATTAATAGGAAATTTACTATTGCAATTACCTGCACAAGACCATGTTTAGGTTTTGTTAGTAAACTACGACAACATTTGTCAGAACAAATGGAAAAACATTTGGTTCCAACTAAATATGAGATAATATTTTTGAATCATATCATTGAATGTTAGTTATGCAACAAGAAGTGTAATCAAGACTTGAAGCTGGAAGCATTCAATTATGCTGATTGGGCCTTTGATGTGAATGAAAAAAGAAGCATGACTGGATTCTGCTTTCGTTTTACAGAGAAGGGTCCACTCATTGCATATAAGAAACTCAGTAGCTTTGTCTTAATGTGAAGCTAAAAACATGGCTTTAGATGTGACTACACAAGAATGTTTGTACCTGATGCAGTTGCTTAGAGGAATGGGCAATCTATGTCAATATGAACCAGTACATGTTTTGGGGAACAATTAGAGTGCACCAGCTCTTCCTGGAATCCAGCTTATTGCCAAATATGTAAACTTATTGATATAAAATACTACTTCATCTGATCAGTAATCAATTAAGGTGTTGTCATGGAGTAACACTTCCAGGTTTGGCACTCAGCTGTGAGGAGTCAGACCCCACCCCCCTCTGACACAGCTCTGACGGTATTTAGGGAGACTGGGCCAGAGAGAGGGTGCTTGGTGATTGTGTGTGAGCTGCCTCCGCAGACTCCACAGGCTCAGCTACTGGGAGCTACTTCCACCAGATTTACCTCTCCACAAGCTCAGACAAGCTGTTCCAGCCTTTGAGCCAATGCAAGGATTGCTGCATGCCATAAAGAATTACTGGAGAACGGATACTTTGCTACTTTACAAGTGGACCATATCTCTGAACTATTGGAGGACTACACATATTAACCTTAAGTATATCTTTCAGCTATTTGTCTACAATATCATTTAATAATGAACTAATGCTTGCTTACTCAAATCTTCATTGCTACTAGTTATATGGAGGACAACTCCCATCATGCTTATTCACGATAAACTGATCCTGCTCTGCAAGTATTCTTAGCTACTTGCTTATTGTTTCTATTGAAGATTATTCTCATGAACTTAAAGAATGTTACTTAATGCATCTCTGAAGAAATACTTAATGAACTTTGTGTTGATTACTTGCACTTCTTCTTATTGGATTATTGCCTAAATGCAATTCATTTAAGTTTAACACTTATTAAAACTTCGTTTGAATCAAGTTACCAGCAATTCTCTCTTTTCTTAAAGCTACAGTATTGATACTTTAAAGAATCTCCGTTTCTTCACAATTGTAATTAGGGAGTTTACAAGCTGCAGTTGAGTTCCAATCCAAATCACCCAAGTAGCGTAACAGGTGTCATGGTCCTTGACTCCTGTCCAACCAACAGGATGCTAGCAGATATCACTACTAAGCTCACAAAAAGTTTATAGGGACACTATAGTCACCAGAACAACTACATCTTTTTGAATTAGTTCTGGTGAGCAGAATCATTACCTCCAGGCTTTTTGTTGTAAACACTGTCTTTTCAGAGAAAATGCAGTGTTTACATTACAGCCTAGTAATATTTTCACTGGCCACTCCTCAGATAGCTGTTAAAGATCCTTTCCGGGTCATGGCTGCCTAAAATGCATCAAAACATTCAGTATCCCCTCCCTCCCCATGCAGACACTGAACTTTCCTTATAGAGATTCATTGATTCAATTCATCTCTATGAGGAGATGCTGATTGGCCAGGGCTGTGTTTAATTTGTGTTGGCTCTGCCCCTGATCTGCCTCTTTGTCAGTCTCAGCTAATCCTATGGGGACCCATTGTGACAGGATCAGGCTACCACATCTGCTGATGTCAGCAGGCATTGGTGCAGGTCTAAAGGAAACAGAGCCAGAGCTAGCAGCTCCAGACTTGAATACATGTAGGATTTTGCTATTTTTAGGGAGGCATGAGGGGACCAGGAGGGCTAGATGGTGGTTTTAACCCTACAGGGTCAAGAATACATGTTTGTGTTCCTGACCCTATAGTTCTCCTTTAAATTAGAAACATTTTTGAGTTATTTGTTTGGGATGTTTATTGTAAATTAAGAAAAGAGTGTGGTAACCAATCTGAATAATGGAATGGATAGCTACATACAGGTTAGCGACTTTAAGCAGATAGGTATATTGTATTTTAAAACACAGTATGTGTGCTCCAAAAATACAAAACGAATGAATAAAAAACGAAACAGGAGATGTTTCTATAGATAAAAAATAAATAAGAATACCTTTTAATGAAGGATCACAACAAAATCAATGTATAATTACTTTTCCTACAAAAACACAATTTAACCTCTAGATAGGGGTATAAAACACACAAGAGTATCAATTGCTTACAAAAATAGTAGCATAGACTTCCTAAATGGGGAGAACGGCAACAGTCTCAATTAATATAGAAGCAGCATGATGCAGCCCAAAATGGGAAGTTTAGAGAAGGTACAGAGACGGTTGAACAATGTTTATTGTGAATAACACATGTGAGTGCAATGGATTTTAAAGGGTGTGATCCTAAGCTGTGTTCATTTGTCTGTGGTACAATTAACCTGTTGCCCCACCTCTTCCCATGGTGAGTGGGAATGTTGAGTGAAGCACTAAACACATGTGTGGTATGTTCCTCTGTTATTGTATGTACTTGTCCAGTAATTCTACCCTCAGAATGCAGATTGAAACACTAATGAATTCTTCAACACTATTCACTGTGCATATGGTGTTGGGTAATATTATTTTCAGGCAAGATCACCGTAGACGCCTTTAACATCCAACACACTTCTTGAAGACTAGAGTCTGTCCTTTAAAGATTTGACAAATAGTGACTCAGTATCCGCACATTATAGTACAAGATTCTACCAACTTCTCACAATAATGGTTCTAGGCCAGACCTTGTCTATCATGGGCATATTGCAGAGTCAGATTAATTAAAGTAAAGACTACTTTTTCTTATGTATTTTTGATACACTTGACAAACTGTGGAGCTTAAGGCAAATTCCACAGGCTTTGTTAATTGAGAAAGGGAGTAGAGCTTGCCTTAAGCTCCACCATTTGTCAAGTGTAGGAAAAATACATAAAAAAAAACAAAAAAAAACCTAGTTCCTAATTTGTCTTGTGTTTTAAAAATAAATAGAATGGAAATGAAGAAACCAAGAACAGATTCTGAAAGAGAAAAAGAAGATTAAACAACAGGAGAAAGTTAAGTTTGAGGTGACAGTGCAACTTTAAGGCCAAAATAGTCAGACTGAAAACAGAATATACTTGGAGAATGTTTCTAATTTGGCAATTTTTTACCAAAATTTTGGACTTCTATCTAAATTTACAGCAAGTCTCATTTTCGTGAATAATCTTCTTCCTGGTAGATGGAGATGGCTTTGTCTTTCTTGGATTTCAGGTGGGCCCATCGACAAACCGCAGTCAGTGCTCTATCATCTGTTATATGATTATTACAACACTCTCTTTAATCCCTAGATATTTTGGAAATCCCACTCAGTCTTGAAGGAATGGGTGTCCGCATGGAGTAGCTTACTGCAGCTTGTAAGAAAAGAAAATCAAGATACATAGACTCATTGGGCACTGTATACCCTCCTCTGAAGAATTAAAATCCTGTTTGCTAACATTGTATTAGTATTTTACACATTTTATGAAAAGGAAAATAAAATAAATAAAAGGTAAAAATTAGTCTAATATGTAAAGCCAATACAACTGTGTTCCGCACTCTAATATTGTCAAATATAAATAAATTTCAACAATTCTTACTCTGTACTCGAAAATATTCGCCAGAACCACTTATGCTCAAGATGTGTAATGTGCTGTATGACGTTATGTAATTCAGAGGACAATTTATTTTGTCTAACACTAAAAGTAAAATTGATACAATGGGAGGTCAACCACACGACCAAGAGGGTTTGAGCCCTCACAATTAGCAACAAAGGAAACATTTAGAGATGGTGCAATAATTACAAAGATAAGATTTTCATGAAATATTGTAATACGTCTTCATATTTAGTCACATAGTCCATTATGACCACCACAGTGTCAATCAGCTTTGATTGCTTATTTAAAATAATAGACAACAGGTGGAAATTATAGGCAATTAGCAAGACACCCCCTATAAAAGAGTGGTTCCGCAGGTGGTGACCACGGACCACTTCTCAGTTCCTATGCTTCCTGGCTGATGTTTTGGTCATTTTTGAATGCTGGTGGTGCTTTCACTCTAGTGGTAGCATGAGACGGAGTCTAAAACCCACACAAGTGGCTCAGGTAGTGCAGCTCATCCAGGATGGCACATCAATGCGAGCTGTGGCAATAAGGTTTGCTGTGTCTGTCAGCGTAGTGTCCAGAGCATGGAGGCGCTACCAGGAGACAGGCCAGTACATCAGGAGACGTGGAGGAGGCCGTAGGAGGGCAACAACCCAGCAACCGGACCGCTAACTCTGCCTTTGTGCAAGGAGGAACAGTAGGAGCACTGCCAGAGCCCTGCAAAAAGGCCACAAATGGTCAGAAACAGACTCCATGAGGGTGGTATGAAGGCCTGACGTCCATAGGTGGGGGTTGTGCTCACAGCCCAACACTGTGCAGGACATTTGGCATTTGCCAGAGAACACCAAGATTGGCAAATTCACCACTGGCGCCCTGTGCTCTTCACAGATGAAAGCAGGTTCACACTGAGCACACGTGACAAAGTCTGGAGATGCTGTGGAGAATGTTCTGCTGCCTGCAACATCCTCCAGCATGACCGGTTTGGCAGTGGGTTAGTAATGGTGTGGGGTGGCATTCCTTTGGGGGCCGCACAGCCCTCCATGTGCTCGCCAGAGGTAGCCTGACTGCCATTAGGTACCTAGATGAGATCCTCAGACCATATGCTGGTGCGGTTGGCCCTGGGTTCCTCCAAGACAATGCTAGACCTCATGTGGCTGGAGTGTGTCAGCAGTTCCTGCAAGACGAAGGCATTGATGCTATGGATTGGCCTGCCCGTTCCCCAGACCTGAATCCAATTGAGCACATCTGGGACATCATGTCTCGCTCCATCCATCAACGTCATGTTGCACCACAGACTGTCCAGGAGTTGGCAGATGCTTTAGTCCAGGTCTGGGAGGAGATCCCTCAGGAGACCATCCACCACCTCATCAAGAGCATGCACAGGCATTGTAGAGAGGTCATACAGGCACATGGAGGCCATACACACTACTGAGCCTCATTTTGACTTGTTTTAAGGACATTACATGAAAGTTAGATCAGCCTGTAGTGTGTTTTTCCACTTTAATTTTGAGTGTGACTCCAAATCCAGACCTCCATGGGTTGAAAATTTTGATTTCCATTTTTGCATTTCTGTGTGATTTTGTTGTCAGCACATTCAACTATGTAAAGAACAAAGTATTTCAGAAGAATATTTAATTCATTCAGATCTAGGATGTGTTATTTTTGTGTTCCCTTTATTTTTTTGAGCAGTGTATATGTATAGTGCAATATGGCCACCAACCCTATGTTCAATTGTTTGCTCTGAATTAAATACAAAAGAAAAAAAATGGAAGAGGGTGCAATGATACATGTAGGTATGTACATAAGTTGCAATAGGAAATGTATCCATTCGGTTGTTAGCCTATAATGTTCCAAATTAAGTCAAACTATTATGTAGAATGCCCACTAGGTGTCACTGATGCAGCACGCAATCCGCATATCTATAAAACAATCCATCTGTTCCTAGTAGCAGCGATTTGTTCACAAACAGGAAATAAGACAAATAAGAAAAAAAAATAGAATCAATGGAAAAAGATATTAAGATAAAATTATATAAGATTTTCCCAGAGTATGACAAGACTCCAAAATTCCATGTGGTTAAAGGACAAAGTGGTGCATGGGTCAGCTGTTTCCTAGTTTTGCTTAAGTTAAATCAATAGTTGCTAGTCCCTACATATTGCCAGCAGGCCCATGTTCCTTACATCCAAATGAGTCCACCACACATAGTATAAAAAGGAAAGAATAATAAATCAAATGAGTAAATAAAACAAATAAACAATCACTCTTAGTGCAGAGGGAACATGGCCACCGAGGCCAGTGGTAGTAAACGCACTTAACGCGTGTTTCAACCTACACAAATTACCTGGATCATCAGGAGTACTGAAAGCTGTCATGGTGATAATTGAATTTAAATATCCCTATTCTTACTGCTTGATTATCAGGTCACCAGACACAGTCATCCAGCCTATAGTTACATAGGCTGACAAAAGACTTGTGTCCATCAAGTTCAGCCTTCCTCACATTCCTCACATTGTTTTTTATTGTTGATCCAAAAAAAGGCAAAAAACCCAGTTTGAAGCACTTCCAATTTTGCAACAAACTAGGAGAAAAAATTCCCTCTTGACCCCAGAATGGCAGTCAGATTTATCCTTAGATCAAGAAGCTATTACCCTACAGTTGCAAAATTATATAATTGAATATTCTGTTTTTGCAAGTATGCATCTAGTTGCTTTTAAAACATCTGTACAGACTCTGATAAAACCACTTCTTTAGGCAAGCAATTCCATATCCTTTAGACAGGTGCAATCGTTTAGTTCTGAATGCAAATGCAGACGAATTTCGAAAATTTGGACATTTGGATGCTTCCGAATGTCCAAAGTGCCAAATTTCGGAATGCTGCACCAAACCGAAGTTCCAAAGTGCTGAATTTTGGAATGTCGAACCGAACCAAATTGCCAAAGTGCAGAATTTCGGAAGTGACGAATTTTGGAAGTGCTGAAGTGCTTCGGATTTATGAAAAGTGGCAAAACAGGAGAGGGTTGGGGTTAGGGATTGGGGTAGGGTTAGTGGTTAGGGTAGAGGTAGGTTTAGGGGTAGGGTTAAGGGTTGGGGTAGGGTTAGGGGTTGGGTTAGTGATTGGAGTAGGGTTAGGGGTAGGGTTAGGTTTAGGGGTAGGGTTAGTGGTTGGGGTAGGGTTAGTGGTTGTAGTTGCCGAAGTGTTGAAGTGCCGAAGTTCCGAAGTGCTGATTGTATCGGAACTGCTGGCAGCCCGACTGGGTACCTTCCGCTGACGGCTGCTCCTAGTCCTTTCTGAGGTCTCCAAGCACTCCACTTGACACCATAACCACTGCAGACCCCACGAAACGCCGCAGCTTGGTTGGGGTCTCGCCGTCTCCACCCACTCTGGACCCAAGACCAGGGTCCAGCTTCCAGTAGGTCGACCTCTTTAGACGCCAATAAGCCCCAAATAGTCTTTTTAAATGGAAATACACCCCAGGGCCATAGTCATGAGGGAGGAGGATGGCGATCAGGCTCCTCCAACAGCCGGGGGCAAAGGGCAGCTTGTCACCTAACAATCCAGTGACAAACGGCATTTCGTCACACATCTCCCCTTTGGGGGGAGACTAACCAGGTACCTGACCTGTCGGTCAGTGCCTGAGTTAGTCGATAAATTCACCCTCGGTGAAGAAGTACAGGAGTCACCCACAACACACATTTACTGCACCTGGTGGTTCCTCTGGTGCTACTGGGCAACACACTGTGGGGACTTGGGGGGCAGAGGCCAACTGTGCTCTGCCCCGATGTCAGCACTTCTGCTGGGGTAGCTTGGACGCAACTTGGTTGGGGAGGGGAGACATCATTTACCTCCTCCTCCCGGTATTCTTGTGAGGGTAGTTGGGGATCTGGATAGGCCGTCCAGCATCCCTGTAGGTCGGGTGCAGAGACTACCGTCCCATCTGCACTGTCTGGGGGAGTAGGGTATCCCCTTGGTAGGGTACACTGCTGCTGGGGAGTCAGACAGACTGTCTCGACTCCCGGTAACGCTGCCTGGTGGTGGGAGCAACCATTTCCACTCCCAGTGATGATGGTTGGTACAGGGACGAGGGACCGACAATCTCCTCTCCCTGGGATGCTGCAGGGACGAGAGACCGTCAATCTACTCTCCCTGGGATGTTGGCTGCCGCTGGGGAGAGAGACCGTTGTATCTTCTCCCTTGTTAACACACTGCCGCTGGGGAGTCAGACCGACTGTCTCAACTCCCAGTGATGATGGTTGCTGCAGGGACAAGGGACCGACAATCTCCTCTCCCTGGAATGCTGGCTGCCGCTGGGGGGAGAGACTGGTTGTCTCTTCTCCCTTGACAACACACTGCTGCTGGGGAGTCAGACCGACTGTCTCGACTCCTAATGATGATGGTTGCTGCAGGGATGAGGGACCGACAATCTCCTCTCCCTGGGATGCTGGCTGCCGCTGGGGAGAGAGACCAATTGTCCACAGCCCCAATCTCTGCAATCGGCACTTGTATTCCCATGCCACTCGATTCTCCTCATCCAACTTGTGCATGGTTGCCAGGATGGTCTCTACCGAAGGATCCGGGCCATACCTGGTTAACCGTTTCATTGCCTCCTCCTTGTAAGCAGCGCCCTCAAAGCGATAGGTCACGTTTGCTGTGAACAGGGGCGCTGTACGAATACTAGCGTTGCCCTCAAATTGTAATTCCAAACGTTACCAGTGCCTCTGAGCTGCTTCTCCTCGCACTAGGACGCCATCCCACCGCTGCCACCCTGACCGGGTACCTTCCGCTGACGGATGCTCCTAGTGCTTTCCAAGGTCTCCAAGCACTCCACTTGACACCATAACCACTGCAGACCCCACAAACCGCCACAGCTTGGTTGGGGTCTCACCGTCTCCACCCACTCTGGACCCAAGACCAAGGTCCAGCTTCCAGTAGGTCGACCTCTCCAAATCCCAGAGAACAGGAACTGGAACAAGCTCTTAGCAGAGCTTAGTGATTATACCCTGAGGAATATGTGATTATAGCAATCCCCAGAGTGTAGTTCTCCAATCCCCCAAACATGAGCCAAAACTTCATGAAGGTACAAGATGATCTGACTCCAATGAGCGTTTAATACTCTTTATATACAAGTTTTCAGGTCAGAGGCACACCCCCTGGACCTGGTGGTAAACTGTGACAAAAGGGACACAAACCAATGGGAACACTAACATAATTAACACTCCCACATACACAATGAAATCCCTCCTCTCCATCCTAGAGATAATTGGCTTAAGGCACTGCAGTAAACTCAATTATCTCCAGGTACAGAAAATATGTACATTTTACACTAACAGCACAAATACGTAAAAGTACATAAAAATGCATAATTCTTATTATATTACACAGAACCCCCACATTTAACCTATCCCCAGATAGCTCGGATCTGAGCGCCCAATTTAGGTGAACAGCGCTCAGATCCCACGAACAGAGTAAATTTGCCATGGGGTAAAGCATAGCAAGGGCTGTTGAGAGACCAAGGAGGGACAAAAGCAGTCAGTTCCAACTGGTTTGGCAGTGTGCCTGGGACAACGCCCTGCTGGATAGCAATAGACAGGAAACGGGGGAGGGGCACACCTTCCCGTGCATTCAAATGGGCAAAAACAGTCTTTAGAAGCCAGTAAGCCTCAAATAGTCTTTTTAAATGGAAATATACCCTAGGGCCATAGTCATGAGGGAGGAGGCTGTCACCTAACAATCCAGTGACACTGATGTTCCGAAGTGCTGAACTGAACCGAAGTGTTGAAGTTCCGAAGTGCTGAAGTCCCGAATTTTGGAATGCTGAACCAAACCGAATATTTTTCCCATGCACATCCCTAATAATTACGCAAAACAAGAATAGTCCAAAGGAAGGATGGTTTTTGATAGAACAAGATGCGGTGAATTTAGATAAATAACTTATTTGGCTTTTCTGGAACCCATTCTACAAAA